TCTTTCATAGTCAGTCGGCCTATTTTCTTACCTCGGAAATGGCGCTCATTTACATGACTCATGTATTTCTTCCCAAACTCTTTTACTTTTTAATCCTCTTTACCACTGGATTTATTTCTCAGTTCTTAAAGGAAAACATTACTCTACTTATGGCAATCTTGTGCATCAAGAGATTTTTACAACTTCAAGTGCACCCTAATAAAATAGGGACAGGAGTTTAATGCCAAAAGGGAAGGTCCCTTTCAGGATTTCCAGAATCATCCCAAAGTTTTATGATGTATCTTGAGTTCCAAACCTGAAAGGAGAACATGATGGTTTATGAGACTCCAGTCTAGCCCAGGAGCAGACTCACTGTTCTAGAAGCAGAGGCACAAATGGAGGGATAGAGGACGCTATGATTTGAATGTCTGAACCCTCTGAAACACATGTTGAAACAATCCCCAGCATAACAGTGTTGGGAGGTGGGGCCTTTAAGAGGTGATTGACTCATGAGGGCTCAGCCCTTGTGAATAGATTAATCCATTCGTGGATTAATAGATTAATGGGTCAACTTGGAAGTGGATTAGTTAACACAGAGTGAGTCTGTTATAAAGCCAGTTTGGCTCTCAGTGTGCCCCCCAGCCCCGTGATGCCTTTGGCTGTGTTATAACACAGCACAAGGACCTCACCAGAAGCTGACCAGACGTGGCTGCCTGATTTTGGACCTGCCAACCTTTAGAATCATGAGCTAAATAAACCTCTTTCCTTTATTAAGTTACCCAGTCTCAGGGATTCTGTTATAGCAACAGAAAATGGGCCAAGACAGAAAGGAACAATGAGGGAATGAAAAAAGGGGGAGAAGGAGCACACACACCACCCCTTGAAAGTCAAAAGCCCTTGTGAAGTGAGAAGATTGGAAACAAAGCCATAATATACCTGGAAGAACTAGACCCAATGCAAGATTCACTCATTCATCCAGTCTTTTTTTGTGTGTGTTACTATGTCCAGACACTATTTGGGGGTAATAGCAGTGCTCATGACAGCAAGGATTCTACTTTCAAGGTGGACATGGGAATGAGAGCCAGATTTTTAAGAATTTAGTAAAAAATAAAAACCAAGAAAATGTCAGGGATATTTATTACACATACAACTAAAAGGAGACAGAGATTGAGCAAGAGTTAATATGATGGTCAATGGAGGCCTCTCTGCAGAGGTCACATTTTTCAGGACAGACCTGAAATTAGTAAGTGTGTGTGCCAGAAGTAGGACATTCAAAGCAGACAGAACATCAAGGGCAAAGGCCCAAAACTAGAACAAACTTAATATATTGGCTGGAACAGCAGGAGGGCCTGTGTGGCTAAGCATGTTTAGCATGACTGTAAGGTGAGGACATCAAGGTGACAGGGGCCAGGTCAGGTAGGGTCCTGTGAGCCCTTGTAAAAACTTTGAATTTTATGCAAAGAGCAATGGATCATGATGTAATGTCTAAGACTCATGAGCGTATAATGAAACAAGACTAGCCACATACAAGTTGACAACTGTTGGAGCCAGTGGCAGGTTCATAGGGGCTCATTTTAAAAATCTCTACTTTTGCATATCCTTAAGCAAATATTGTATTCAAATAATACAATGAGAGGACATTAGAGAGTTCTAAACAATCAAGTGACATCTTCTGATTGGCATCTTCCTTTATTTCAGAATATTACAGGGGTACAAATGTTTTGGTTACATGATTTGCTTTTGTGCAGTTTGAGTCAAAGTTATGTGTGTGCCCATCACCAAGATAGCATGCATTATACCCATTAGGTATAAATTTACCCATCTCCTCCTCCCTACTCCCACCTGCTTGGTTTCCATTGAGTTTTACCACTATATCTGATTAGCATTTTCTAAAAGAGTACGTGACTATTGCATGGAGAGAGGGACTGGACACATCCTAGATTGTACTCACCAGGGTCTCCATACCCTTAGACACATGCCAAATCTGTTTAGCAGCCTCCATGGAGCATGTTCATTCATGGGAGGACCAAATCACAGCTCTTTAAAAGAAAGTTACCTGTGATTTTAAAATGATGAAGTGATTGCAGTGTGGGAGGAAAAGCTGTGGGCTAACAATCATGAAAGTTAGGAGCTGAGGACAGCTTACTCAATCTCTGAGCCTCAATTTCCTTACTTGCTCAGTGCAGGTGTGCCAAGGTGTCCTCATGAGGGATGTAAGAGTTGAAAGAGATAACAGGGGAAGGATTTCACCAACAGCAGAGGTTGTACAAATGTGAGGGGTAGTTGTTATATTGTATGTCTTCTATTGCAATTACCACTAGTACTGCAAATAACACTAACTGCTGATGTTGTATTTTTAGGTTTCTAAAGGACTTTATAGAGTATAATTGCTGGACTAAGAGCAGAGGTAATAAATTTGGTAGAGCAGCAGTTAGGAAGATTGCCCTACCATAGACTTAAAAGAACACCTAGGCATAGCCCAAGAGCTCCACCTAAATTTCAAAACTCCAGAAGCTCCAGGAATACCATCTGTGCATTTGAGGGTGTACACATGTGTGTGCACACACGCACTTTAATTTCCAGCTCCAGAGGTGGGGATTGGTTTAAGTGCTTCTGTAGGATGTTCATTCCAAAGAGTTCACAGCATGTTTGAGCCACAACCTCGGAAACACTTAAAACCTACTGACACTAGGGGAGTACAATTATTTCTGAATTGTCAGAATGAGAAAGCTTGCCCAAGCCTCATGATTATGTTCCAGTGCTCTGCTCTTGAAGACACATTCCTCTAAGGTGACCATACTTGTTTTTCCCCCCCAGGCCATTCTGTCATTTAGTTGCATCATCTAGGTTTTATTTTTAAAATAATGTACATAGTTCACAGTGCCTTAAGGATTGTTTCTGTACCAAGGTTTTGGTTTCTTCTGATTCAAAACACACACACACACACACACACACACACACCCTTTCCAATCTTACAGCAAAAGAGTAAATTGAGCAAAGTTTATAAACAAGCTCTAGATCCCCAGATCATCCAGATTTAGCTAGTGGGACTGTAAGGAGTGTGAACATAAGAGAAATGAACCTCTTACAGGTGATTAAGAATGCTCGTGTGGGAGACACACAGCCTGTGTTTGAATTGCATGAATCTCACCGCTACCACTTACATGCTGTGTGAGCTCGGGCAGATCACTAAGGTCAATTTCCTCCTTTGCGAGATGGAAATAATGATAGTAACTGCTTTGTAGAACTGATGACAGGATTAAATGTACGAGAAGTTCTTAGCACGGTTTCCAGGACAAAGCAAGTGTTCAAAAAATGTTGATGGATTATTATGGTTATAGGCTGGTAGGAAGCACTGTAAATTATTTTACTACAATGTTTTGATTTCTCTTTGGCTAACTCAGGGGCTCTTAACTTGGAGTGATTTTGGTCCCCAAGGGACATTTGGCCTTTTCAGTTGTCACAACTGAAGGATGCTGCTAGACATGTCACAATGCACAGTACAGCCCCCACAACAAAGAATTATCTAGCCCTCAATGTCAACAGTACTGAGGCTGAGAAACTGTGGAAACTAAACAATGTGGGGGTTATATTAATAATTTATTGAGACCATATAACAATTACTCAGATCTGGGTAAGTATTTCGCACAATTACCTGGAAGCTAAAAAGTCTGAAATGTGTTTCAGTTGTGGAAAGAGAGGCTAACTGATGGTTAGCCTTGATCATTTCTGAGCATGACCAACTCACCCCTAGAGACTGGTAACCATAGGTGCTCACAAGGGAATATGCAGCTGTTCTTCTTGCCATGAGGGAACCATTCATGACAGTAATTCCTTACCTGACCAAAATTTCTTAAGATCCATTGTACCGTTGTCCCTGTTTGCTGTAGCCTGTTCTACTGAGGTTTTAATTGCTTACTTGTTTAGGGGGCCAAAGATCAGGTTTTTTCAGGTATCAGAGACACAACCCGGGTCTTACAAGCATCCCCTACTTCCTTGGAATTCCTTCTCAAAAATGATTAAAGTTTGAGACTATTCCTTATTTAGTATCTACTGAAATATTTTACAGGATTTCAAAAGAGCAGGCTCCTGGCTTACTTTTCAGTGGAACAACTTAGGTGGTATAAGTGACAGATAAAGCAAGGTGTTATGCAGTCCTCTTCTATATTAAAAATATTTGCTAACATCAGTGTAGACTTCAACTTGTACTTCTTGAGTGTTTTCTTATCTTTTGCTCATAAAATAGTTTTGTGTTTGGCTTGGCATCCTACTCAGAAAGCATATTAGAATCAAAGTACCAAGATTTCAAAAGTCCAAGCTACTCTCCCCAAAGAGAAATGTGCAATCAAAATAATATGACATGCATACAAATCCAGAAGTTATGTTATTAAAGTATTGAGAATTAGCTTTTCTAATCTCCCCACCTGCAATTCCTTTACCCCTAACCTCCTTACACCTGGTAAATCATTAGCTCAAAAATGTCACAAATTGTATGTGGCATTTGGAAACCTTTAGTTTTTCATTATATATGAAAATTTTAACACCATTATCACTATAATCATAATTAAGGGAGGAATACTTCTCATCAGAGTTTGTCTGCAATAAAGTGATCTTGTAAGTATTATGTTCCTTCCTGTCCTGATATACAAACCCATCTCCACATATGTATCACTTGCTTTCTAATGGTTAATCATCTTGATTCTTACATTACCTGAAACATGGAAAGTGTTAGTGAGCTTAGAATAGTGGTTCTTAACTTGAGATTAAAATATTAATTAAAATATTATTAAAATATCTGGGGAAATTTAAAAATCCTGATGCCCTGGCCACACCACACTCTAATTAAACCCCAATCACTAGGGGCAAGACGCAATCCTCAGAACTTCTTTAAACTCTCCAGTTGATTCCAGTGGGCAGGCAGGATTGAGAACTGGTGGTTTAGAAGAAAATCCATTATAATGAGGAGAATGCAAAACACCCAAGTGAAGCTTGTAACGTTACTGTCTCACATCTATTTTCAGCTGTTTCGACATGGAGACAGAAGTCCTATCGAAACCTTTCCCAATGACCCGATTAAGGAATCTTCATGGCCACAAGGATTTGGCCAACTCTCCCAGGTTGGTTGGGTTTTCACCTAAAAGGTTTGCTGTTGAATCTTAAGGGAAAATGTGTATAGGATTGTCTGTTTTGGCATGTTTACCATGTTGGCTTTACTTACGCATAAGAGATATATATGGACAACAGAAGAATACATGAGCTTAGAAATGTTGAAAAGAGCCAAGAGATACTTACATGCCAGCCTCTGGGTTTCTCAGGCTTCACTTAAGAAAGTAAACAATAGTCTTGTAATCAATAAACTGAATCAACAGTATTGGGGAAACATGATTCCTCTGGAATTGCTGATAGCAGAACTTGATTTCTTGTCAGCTGGATATATTGGGATTTAATCCTTCTTAGAAGTAGTTAAACACAGGGAGCCCTACTTTTTAAAGAGCATCTAAGGAGAAGGTGAACTGGGGAGTGAAGGCATCTTCAGTCTCTGTTCCAGGGCCCTACCCTCCTTCACTTGTAAGATTGGCTGGTTCTTCTGTTTAGAGCCAGAAGGCCAGATGCATTGCTTCTGTCTTGATTAAAGCACTGTTTAAATCCATTAAGATAATGTCACAGAATGTTTAGAGTTGAATATCTCCAAAACTAAGGGATCTGAGTCTTACCCAAACATTAGAGTTATCTGGAGATGTTTAAAAATATTGATGTCTGGCTGGGAGTGGTGGGTCATACCTGTAATCCCAGCACTCTGGGAGGCCAAGGTGTGAGGATTGCCAGCCTGAGCAAGAGTGAGACCCCATCTCTACCAAAATAGAAAAAAATAGCTTTTATTAAAAATATAAAAAATAGCCAGGTGCTGTGGTGCACACCTGTAGTCCCAGCTACTCAGGAGGCTAAGGCAGGAGGATTTCTTGAGCCCAGGAGTTTGAGGTTGTGGTGAGCTGTGATGATGCCACTGTACTCTACTCAGGATGACAGAGTGAGACTCTGTGTCAAATATATATATATTGATTTCTGCCTGGGAGGTTCTTATTTAATTGAGCTAGGATATGGCCTGGGCATTGGGATTTTTAGAAGCTCCTTAGTTGATCAGTTCACTGTATTGTGCAGCCAAGGCTGAGAATTACTGCCCTGACTACGTTTCATAGAGGAGAAAACCCAGAGAGGTTATTTGCAGCCAGCATCTTCTGGTTCCCAGGTCAGAGATCTTCCCACTATAGCATATCCATCTTCTGGCTCTTTGAATGAGAGAAGGGCAACAAAAATTGAGGTTTGCTTAATACTTATGGCTCTGTAGAGACTCCTGTTTCATTGCTATGCTTTTTCAGTCAGACCAAAAGATTCTTCTAGACTGCAGGATCTGGGTTCTTCTGGAAGTCCCTTGACTCCAGATTCTAGTACAGTAGTGTTTCTCAAGCTTCCATGTGCAAATGAATCACTTGGGGATCTTGTTAAAATGCAGATTCTAATTCAGCAGGTCTGATGTAGGACCTGAGATTCTGCCTGTCTAATGTACCCCAGGTGATGACAATGATATTGGTACATGGACCACTTTTGAAGTAACATGATTCTAGATCTCAGATTCCTAGTTGGCCACATACTTCTACTCTGCATAACGATGAGGTGATGCCTTGCTAAATCAGTGGTTCTCAAAATGTGGTCCCTGGACCAGCAGCATCACCATCACCTGAGAACTTGTCAGAAATGTAAATTCTCTGGCCCCACCCTATAACCAGTGCACCAGAAAATCTGGAGTTAAATCCCAGATATCTGTGTTTTAATGAGTCTTCCAAGTGATCCTGTGCATGCTAAAGTTTGAAAATTATTGCTCTATACAGAATCTGAGCAAAAGTCAGAATTGAATTTGAATTCCTCAAAAGTCAGCTGTAAGTCAGAACACAATTAGACCCAAGCTACCTGCTTCTCAGCTACCCAGGGCATGGAGCATTATTGCTTTCCCAGCTTCATCCCCATCCTAGATGGGATGTGATAATAGAGGTGGACAAGATTGACAAGCAAATGACAAGTGTAACCAAGCAGCAGCCACACTGACAACATCCTCTCTGGCTCCTAAAGCTCTGGAGAGGATCTTAAAGACAAACTTGAATGCAATGTTTCTCAAAACATGGTGCTTTACTACCTACATCTGAATCATTTGAGGTACTTGTTAAAATGCAGATTCCAGGGCCCCACTCAAGCTCTAATGACTTGGAATCTCTGGAGAAGATGCTGAGAAATCCACATTTTAACAAGCACCTCTAGATAATTTTCTCTCTGATGCACAGTAATGCTTGCAGACCATTGAGCTAATGCAATGTATCTCAATGATTATTGCCCATCAGAAGTTCTTGGAGAACTTTTCAAAAACAGATTCCTGAGTTTAACGCCCCCAAAAATTCTGGGTCAGTAGGTCAAGAGTGGGGCTCAAGAATTTTATTTCTATCATGCTCTCAAGTAATGCCACTACTGTTGATCCACAGACCACACTTTGAGTAACAGGCTCTAATTTTTTTATAAACCAGGAATAAATAAACTGTGCAGATAATAAATCATTGCACTCAGAGGTTGAAAAGGACCTTCAAATTCAGAAAGTCCAACCTCATCAGATGGATGAATTTATTCCACAAAATCCCAACAAGGATCCCAATACACCAGAGATAAACCATTTACTTTAATCAGTTCAATCACCAACTATCAACTAAGCACTTACTATGTACAAGTCTCTATGTTAAGTAATAATGAAGATGAGTGAGTTTCCTCAGGGAGCCATGATTAACGACTACAGCTTTCTTTTCTCACTTTTATTTAAATATGTGTTGTCATTATGGAACTATTAAAGCATACCATTTTTTACCCATATAAATTTGTTATGAGACAAATTTCTATGATAACGCAATTCATAGAACTGACTTACTTTTGCTTTTATTTTTTTCCCATAGCTAGGCATGGAGCAGCATTATGAACTTGGACAATACATAAAAAAAAGATACAGCAAATTCTTGAATGAGTCCTATAAACACCAACAGGCAAGTTGGGGAAGCCAAAAGTGGGAACCTTGACCCTTGAAAGAATTAAAATAATTCTGCTTATGTGAAAGTGCTTTGCCTGTTTTCAAAGGAACTTATACAAGTCAGAGATCTTGTTTACAAATGTACTCCTCTTTATACAATTATTTTGCTCCTAAAATATTCTGAATATAAGTTCCAAATGTTATGTACACCTATGTAAATACTTTATCTTGGCAAAGAGCCACCACTTAATTGGTCTCATTTGTCAATTCAATTGTGTTCCATATCAGATATTATGACTATGATGTTATGACAATGTTTGCTAATGTTTTAATATGGGTGTCCTGCCCTTTCTCTAATACCTTGTCAGCTCCACAGGAAAACAAACAAAACAAACAAACAAACAAAACTCATGTTTCCTCTACGTTGGCTTCTGTTTTGATTTTTCTGCTCTAGATTTATATTCGAAGCACAGACGTTGACCGGACTTTGATGAGTGCCATGGCAAACCTTGCAGCCCTGTTTCCCCCAGAAGGTGCCAGCATCTGGAACCCCAGCCTGCTCTGGCAGCCCATCCCCGTGCACACAGTCTCTCTTCCTGAAGATCAGGTCAGTACACTAGGAAAATCGGGAGATTCCACTTGTGCCTGAAGGGAAGAAGGCAGGCTGCTCAGTACTTGTGGATTTGGAAGTCTGAACGTTGCTTGTGCTGTACAGTTTTAATTCTTTCTTAAATCAAAGTGCAAAGGACAATATAGGACATGGAAAGCCCTAGGCAAGCCAGAGTAGGAACCAAATTTTTCTTTGGATCTTTATCATCCACTTTGTTTTGCTACTCTTTCAACTTTTGGCAGTTTGCCCCCTGCATTTTACACACACACACACACACACACACACACACACATACACACACATACACACACACGTGCCTCCCAGTGCTCTACCTTCAATACCCAGGCTTTTGGTGCCCCACACAGGGTTTTTCCCTCCCCAGAATATCCAAAGATCTCTGTACCTACCAAACACTCTTCCCTTCATGAAAGATCCCAGAGGAAAAAAAAGATTTGAGTACATAATTGGTGCCCAAAATTTTATTTGTGTCATCACATTTAACTTTCATAACAAACTTGAATGGACAATATTGTTTTCCTTTTACAGTGAGGGACATAAGTGCTCAGAGAGGTGAAATAACAAATGAAATTGGTCCAGAGTGACATCTCTGGCAAGCCTCACCTCCAGGATTAAAACTAGGCTGATTTCACTCCAGAGCAATTTTCTTCCTTGTAAAATAGTCATCCTCAAACTTAGCTGAATATTACAATCACCTGGCGATTTAAAAAAGAAAAAAACCCTGATGCCCAGGGCACTTCCCATAACAAATCAGAAGCTTTGAGGGTGGGACCCAGGCATTAGTATTTTATAAATAATGGCCCTAGATTATTCCAGTGAGGAGCCAAGTTTGAGAACCAGTTCCATAAGCCATGCTTCCTGAATGGGGCTGTTGGAGAGAACCTCTCAAATTTAATACCCAGGGTGGGACTGATGAGGAACTCTTTAGCCTTCTCAGAGGAATTGATATTTTTAAAATAGCAATAAATGAATCTGAGCTTCCAGGTGTGGAATTTAAGACCATATGAAGGAAATAGTTTGAGACAAAGAATCCTTTCCTAATTTCCCTGAAGTCACATCATAGGCATGACCATCTCATCTCTTTATGGCTGAAGCTTAGCCTGACTGCTGCACCCAGCCTTTTGCCCAGTGATCTCTGGGGTAGTTTACTATCCTCTTTGTCCTGCCATTACTCCTAGAAATTTGACTTCATTGCTGCCTCTAGTGACTTACGGATTTTTCCCAAATGCTTTGTAGAAACTGTCAACCTCACTGGAGATAAATCTACTCCAACTACTTTTCTGGTGTTTCTTGAAAAGACAGAGTGATTTATTTATATCTCTTTCCTTCACATAATCAGCAGTGAAATATTATGATTGTGGTCTTAAGAGTTTATAAATATTTTCTTCCAAAAATAAAAAAAAAATCACTTACCACAGTCTTTTTCAGAGATACAGACTGGATTCCAGCACCAAATTTAGCCAAATATAAACCAAGGTAGCTATTTAACTAACCCTTGATCCTGAATGATAGTAATTAAATAAATAGTAAAGAGATGCAGGTGCTATTAGAATAGAAAGAGAAAAAGAAAAGAAAAAGAAAGAAGAGAAAGAGAGAAACAGGGAGAGTGCGAGAGACAGAAAAGAAAGCAACATTGTCTACCTATGACTTCCAGCTTCCTACACACTAAGTTGAAAAAAATTCTAATATCAACTTAGAAATCTAACAAAATCAATCAGTCAACACAAGGTTATTCCCAGAGCTCTGCTAAGTGCTATGAGGAAATATGAAGCCAAGTTTCTTCCCTAATTCATAATTTGTTTAATGAAAGCAGATCAGTATGTGAGAAACGTGTAGAAGTCTATACAGGATGATGGGAGATGATTGCAAGTGTGAGCTGTCTCTGCTGGATGAATTCAGAGAATGAGACATACATGGAGCTGCCCCAGGGCAGTCATTCGAGTCTTCATGGAGAGCTTGGGAACTTGAACCAGACCTCGTGGTAGCAGTAGGAAAGGAGAAGGCAGCACAAAACCATGGCACTGAGTAAAGATGCACAGTGCTAGTTATTCTGTGTCCAGAGTTCATGTTTAGCAAGAATGAAAATAAGATTGAATAGCTATGTTCTCTATTCTCTAATCTGGGTGCAGATTAGAGAATCCAAATTTAGTAGCCATAAGAAATCTTGAGCTGAGAGAAAGGAAGTATGATGTTAGAGGGTCTGGATTTGAAGTTGAAAAACCTAGGTCTGACAGCCAACTACCAATTCAGTTATATGACTCTGAGCAACCGTACTACACCTCAGTCTCCTTTTCTGTAAAATGGGACAACTGTACTCACCTAACCTCTTCTTAGGGATTTGTGAAAGTTGTCAGTTAAGAAATGGAAAAGACATTGTACACAGCAAAATTCTGAACAGATGTCTGGGCAGTTATTCTGTTTACTTTCAGTCTGACAGTTTGTGGATGAGAAAACTAAAGTTCAGGGAGGCGAAGTAATTAATTAAAACCTTAGCTTTTTCATAAACAGTCTTCTGCTTTTTTCCTCAATAATATCATTTTTCTCCTATATAAAAATTTGAAAACCATGCAGGGAAATTTAGACTTAAAGCAATGGACATAAAAGAAACCTGTATACATTCTTCCATATTACACACATGTGCTTATGGTGCTTTGAGGCATTTATTTGCCTGACAATAGCTTGGAAGGAAAAGACATTAGAGTCTCAGAGAATAACGATTGAAGTAATAAGAAATAAAGGCCCGGAATTAGATGGTAAAACATGTTAGAGGAAGGAAAGCAAGGTAAGATAAGGTGACACAGAATCAGAAATGACAGACTAGGAACAACTTATAAATGCTTTCTGAGTAGATATTTATGTGCCAAACCCTGTTCTAAGCATTGACAATACAGCAGTTAACAAAAAGATCCTAGCTCTCATTGAGTTTAATATTTCATAGGAAATAGATAGATGATAAAGAAGTAAATAAAATAACTTCAGATGGTGATAAGTTCCTTGAAGGAAATAAAATAAGTTAATATTAATACGATAGTGGCTGGGGCAGGATGGCTAGGAGAGCTGGGGTGCAAGTCAGCTGGGGAGTGATGCAGGCAGGAACACTTTATGCAGAGATCCTAGGCCTGTGGGTGCAGGGGACGGTTAGAAGGCTCACAGCACTGCTGGAGGACAGTGATAGGACAAAGAACAGGAAAGTAGAGCAGAGAGATTGCTAGGGGGCAACTCATGTAGACTCCTGTAAGTCATGGTAGTGAGTCTGGATTTTATTCCAAGTAAAATGGAAAGCCAAGGAAAGTCATGAACCGCCAAGTGATTTGAGCTGATTGCTGCTTTAAAAAAAAGGCTAGTGTTTAAAAAGTAAAAAGGATCAGTGTAGCTGCTATGTGGAAAATAAGTTGTGAAGGCAGAAAGAGTGGATGTCAATTGACCAAATAGGATAACCTTGCAGTAGTGGAAATGCAGGTTATGGTGGCTCGCACTGGGAGAGGACACTGAAGATAAAGAAAATACATCTTTTTGGATATATTCTAAAAGCAGGCAAACAAAAGTGATTAGTCTATGAAGCAGGTTATAAACTTTGCCATTGGCAAAAGTAGAGAAATTACAAAGAGGAAAATGGTTAAAAATGAAGAAATAGAGCTCAGCTTTGTACATGTTAACTTTAAGGAAGAAGAGAATCATCGAAATTAGTGATATCTACCAAGAGCTAGAAATACAGAATTACCCACAAATGGAAAGTGAGGGCAACAAAATAGACTTGGGAGTCACCAACTTGTGGGTTATATTTAAACTACAAAAGATTGTCAAATTTGAACTCATTTTAGGATGATCACTTTGTCCTCATAGATTTTTAAAATATATTTTCTATGTATTTAATATGTACCCTTATTTTAAAAATCTGCAAGAACTGAAGGCAATGAGCACGAAATTGGTTTCTTACGGTTCTTTCCAGAACCTCCAATTCATTTCTCCATTCTTGCGTGTGCACATGCACATGTGTACACAGTTGTGCACCCAGTGCTAGAAATGAAAGGGGCTGGGGAGGAAGCAAGATAACAGCAATCATTCCCATGGAAAACCAGGAAGTGTGAATATTTACCAACAGCACAGTCCTGTTTAGGCAAGTTTATGAAAGAAAAATAAAGTTTTTCAGTTCTGGGTCCATATCCTGCTATTTTAAGACCTGCAGACATTAGTCTCTTTCCTTTCAATTTTAGAATTTCCATTAGGCTCAAAACACATTTGAATCTTTTATTAAGGTTTCTTTGGACCTGATGAGGCTTAAAATATTGCTGCAACTTGGCAAGCAAAGTTCTCCTGACTAATGAATTTCTTATGATTTTTCTTTTGTCCTCAGTTGCTGTACCTGCCTTTCAGGAGCTGCCCTCGTTTTCAAGAACTCGAGAGTGAGACTTTGAAATCAGAGGAATTCCAGAAGAGGCTGCGTCCTTATAAGGTTAAAAAGTAATAGTATTTAGTGGTCTACATGAGCTTGAGGGCCAAGACAAAGGATGAAGCTTCTGCTTCTTAAAAGTATGGGATGAATGTGTCTGTTGGTGGCTGGCTATAGCAACGGGTCAGAATATCTAATGAGGGAAGTCATCCCTCCCTGATGCCCTTCCCTGTGCAGGGGCCACAAACCAGTACAGAAGCCAGTTGATTTCTAATCCTGTACCTACAGCCCTGAAAGGAACCAGGTGCAAGTGAGAGGCTAGATGACAATAAATGCAAGTCTAAAGTCACCTGCCTTATCACAGTTGAGGGGCTGGGACTATTATCTTCACATACAAAGGACATTCTTTTTTGTTTCTATGTTTCTTTGTAAAATACACCCTTCAGGACTATGCAAAAGGAAGATATAATGCTTTGCATTTTTAAAAATAATCTTTTTCATCGTTAATACATTCATATGGTCCAAAAATCAGAAAATATAAAAAGGAATGCAATGGAAAATCTCTCAATGATCCCACAGGTAACCACTGACATTATTTTCTTAGGTAGTCTTGCAGTTTCTTTATGCATATACAAACAAATACAAATATATTCTGATAGTTTCCTCTTTTGTTACACAAAAGTAGTACGCTAATCACAGAGTTAGGTACCTTTGTGGGTTTTTTCCCACTCAACAAAATTTCTTGGAAATATTCCTGTATCTGTACATAGAGCGTTTCCTTATTTTTTGTCTTTATTTTTATACAAAAGTGTAATATTTGTATTTATGGACATACTGTAATTTATTTAACCAGCCCCTATTGATGGAAAAGTGGGCCATTTCCAATCTTTCATTTTTACAATCTATGTGAGTACTTTGTACATCTAAATAATTTCACGAGAATATCTGTGGTATACTATCTCAGAGGTAGACATTCTGGGTCGATTTGAAATCTTATCAAATTACCCTCCAAAGAGGCTTTACCACTTTCTACTCCTATCTGCACTGCATGGGAGTGCCTGTTTCTCCCCAGCCTTGCCCACAGAGTGTGGACAGCTGTGGGAATATTTGCCAATCTGAAAAGTAAAAAACGGTGTCATTAGAAGCATCTCCTCTAACATCAGGAATAAGACCAGGAAGCCCACTACCATCACTATTATACAACATTGTACTCTAGTACTTTTCTCTTATGATGAATGAGCTTAGATATCTTCATCTAGTTCAATGTCACTTGTACATCCTTTCACATCCCTTGTCTATTTTTGGATTATTCATTTTCTTTTTTTCTGTAAGCTTTGTAGGAGCTTTTTCTATATATTTTAATATTTCTGTGATATGAATGGTGGGTTTTTTTGTTTGTTTGTCTGCCTATTGATGATGCTTATGGTGTTCTTGCCATATAGGTTGTAAGTGCATCAGTATATTTTTATATGGCTGCTATAGTTTGAGTGATATTTAGAAAAACCTTCTCCACTCCTAGGTTATAAAAGAAGTCTGCAAGGCTTTATTCTAATTCTACTACAGCTTCATTTCTACATTTATATATTACATCCATTTACAGTTTATAATAACACCGTTAGGTATGAGGTAGGTATCCTGCTTAAGTTTTTTCCTGGATTATCTAATTGCCCTATCACTATTTATTGAATAGTTCATCATTTCCTACTAATTTAAGCTATTACATATTAAAATTTCCATATTTGTGGGGTCTATATCTAGAATTTTTATTCTATTCAATTGTTCTTACTAGCCAAAATCACAGTTTTAATTATTAAGATTTTATATGCTTTAATATCTAAAAGGTTGGCCATCCTTCATTGTGCTACTTTTTCTGAGTTTTCACAGCTATGTTTTAATTTTCTTTGTGAACTTTAGGATCAATTTGTCTAGTTACAAAAATATTATTTTTTTGATTTTTGGTATTTTTGTTAGGGTCATATTAAATTTATAAATTTAAGTTTCTTTCTGATTTATAATATCTGCAAACAATAATGGTTTACCTCTAGTTTTGCAAAATTTATACCTCTGTTTCTTTCTTTTTTGGCTAGTACTTACAGCACAATGTTATGTGGCAGTGTTGGTAGTGGGTGTTCTTGTCTTATTCCCAATTTTAAAAGGTTTTTCCTATTAAGTATGCTGGCTTTTGAACCAGAGGAGAGAGATTTTTATCAAGGTAGGAAGTATCCATCTTTCTTATTTTCTTGAGTATTTCTTTAAATCCATATGGATTGTTTAAAGATCTTTTTAATATTTTTTAATATAGTCAAATTATTATTCTCTTTGGATCAATTACTACATTTAATTATATTCATAGATTTACTAATATGGAGCAATCTTTACATTTATCATATCAAAACCCTTTCTTTTAATGTGACATTGAGTTATTTGCTAATATTAATGTTTTACTTAGACCTTTTACATTAATATGTACAAGTGACATTGAACTATAGTTTTATTTTGAGGGCAATCTTTATCAGTATCGATGTTATATTTAATTAATAAAGTTTTCTTTCTTTTTCTATGCTCCAGAAGAGTTAAAATAGCATTAGAATAATTTACTCTTGAAAAGCTTGGTAGAATTCCTCCATTAAATCATCTGCCGCTAGAGATTTTGTGTTTAGGGAGGTGGTAGCAGGAGCTCTTTAACAATTACTTCTATTTATTTTATGGAAATCTGTTGGAGTTAATATTGGCAAATTGTAGTTCCCTAGAAAATGCATCCTTCAGACAGACAATATCGTCCAAAAGGCTTCCCAGAGATTGCTGCCAATTTCAGCAGTCAAATAGCTGAACATTGTTTCTTATTATTGTGGCAATCCAAAAATAATACAGAACCTAATGAAATGTTGATATTCCATCCAGATTTCATATTTACAACCAGAGACCAGGTCCTGTGTCTGTTGTGTTTTCTTAGGATGCTTCAGCCTGAGATATGCTTTCCCTTCTCACTTGGGACATTCATTTACATATGAGTTATACCTCCCCTACTTTTAAAAAGAATTTGAGTCAGTGCACTTCAATCCAATTCCAGCACAAACCAGGAACATGTGACAGTAAGCCAGCATTTATCTGCATTTTAAATGTAATAATGAGACGCAATCAATTAGTGTGTATAAAACTTTGGGGTTGGCATTATCATAGCCAATATTACTGGTGCACATTTTTTGTGAAGAACAGGGGCAAATTTGCCTCATATAGAACATTGGGCAATATCGAGACATTTGGGTTACACTACTAGAAAATTAGGAATGCTACTGGCATTCCTAGTTTAGAAATGTTTTTTGTTTTTTTTCTGTTTGTGTTTCAGGATTTTATAGAAACATTGCCAGAACTTTCAGGATTCCATAGCCAGGAACTTTTTGGAATTTGGAGTAAAATCTATGACCCCTTATATTGTGAGGTAAAAAATATATATATCTAAGGTTAACTTTCAATATCACTTTATGATTTATGTTTATTTTGAAACAGATAAATACATTTTCTTTCTCTTTACTTATACTGCCTTTGACCTTAAAACATAATCAAGACTTCCTTAAATTAACTTGAAAATCCTGAATTATTCTTTTCTCTCTCCATTATTTATGTTTTCACCCTTTAGAAAATTGTGAGCAAAATTGCTTTGCTTCTGTGTGTCGCCACTTATTTGTCTTGCAGTCACTCAAGAATGCTGGGCTCCTGTCATATGTTTTAATGAAAAAAGCAATATTGTTATATAGTAACAGGAAAAAAAATTACCTGGATTTGTGGATATAGAAATAAGCAAGTCAACAGTAAGCCAGGCTATTGAAATTTGCTTATCAAGAAAGAACCCCTTCCTTGCTGTGCAAGACAATGCGTTTGTGGCTAGGTAAATTATGATTGTGTTTTTCAAGGCTACATGGTGTTTTTCACTCACCATGCTCCACCTTCTGGCCAAAAGGAGAACTCTCTATTCCTATTTTCCCAGCCTATTCACTAAATCCTGGGGCAAGATTCTGACCACCCACCTGACTCATACCCACTTCTGATTTTGAAGTCACCATGAAAGTTTAGGGGATGGTGATTACTTCTGTAGCTCCATCTCAACTACTGATGGCACAGTTTGCCCCTCTATGATAGAGTTAATTGACCCAACCACATGCTACTTCCCAGTATTTTCACTTTATCATCAACGATATGTTTCAATGAAGATTTGTTGGCTTTATAAAAGACTCTTGGATGGAAACAAAAACTCACATTTTAGTTCCAGTCTTGATTTTTTTTTTTTTTTGTCCTTACTACAGTCTGATCTGAGCTCTTCTGAAATGTGGCCACGTTATATGGTACTTTTTCACATTTCTCTCACTTATTTTATCTATAGGTCACTTCACTTTGGTCTCCTCTTTCATGAACTCACTCTTCCTCTCTCTCTCAATCCTGACTTTGAAACTGGGGGACTCCTAAGTGACTCTTTTTAATGGGTAATAAATATTGGCACAAGGTCTCTACCTGACCTGCTTGGAGTTATTCATCCGTTTAAAATACCAAGTACCTACTGTGTGTAAAGTGCAGACTTTTCCCAAGAGCAAGTGAACAAGAAGTTGATGGAGTGGATATATATTGCTAAAGCCTCCAGAAATATATTGCCTTTTCTAACTGGCCTCTCAGGCAGGTCATTCAGCTTTTAAGGGAACATCATCTAACCCTGTCAGCTTTTATCATTCCCAAAGGCTCATAGAAAGATTTCTAACCCTTTCCTAAAGGAATGAGGTACATTTGTGCCCTCCTGCACGCTTCCTCTGCAAAATGTGAATCACTCGTTGACCCTGAGTTAAGCCAAATGCTAGGGACTTGGTAGGAAGGGGCAAATTTTTCCTCTGAAAATTTTTCTTCTGAAAATCTATACCACTGCTTATCACAGTATAAAGTCTTCCTAGAAAGAAATGGCAAGACAAGAAAGACTTGGCCCCGATAGTTCTTGTGGGGTAATAGAAAATGTTTTAAATGAACAGAGAAAGCAGTCATACATAAAAATATACATGCAGTTTCTTCCTTTTTCTTTGTCACAGAGTATTCACAATTTCACTTTACCCACCTGGGCCACCGAGGACACCATAACTAAGTTGAGAGAATTATCAGAATTGTCCCTCCTGTCCCTCTATGGAATTCACAAGCAGAAAGAGAAATCTAGACTCCAGGGGGGTGAGTATTTAAAAAAATGAGAGGAGCATATTGGATCTGTGGTTGGATGGTCTGGGTCTGAGTCCCAGTTCTCCCACTACTCAGCTGTGTGACCTCAGACCACTTACCCACCGGCTCCCACTCTGCACAATGGAGCTAATAATGATACCTACCTCATAGATAAGATTAAAATGAACATATATAGTCAAAGGGCCTAGAACAAATGATACCTTGTACACAATACACTGTCAATGAACATTATGTTTTACTACAATCATCAATATTGTCCACTCTGGGCCTTAGTTTTCCCATCTGGAAAACAAAAGCTTTGGGCTAAAGCTAAATGATCCTTTCTATACCTTCCAGATCAAAAAATCAAGCATTTGTGTCTTGTGGCCTATAGGATAACTTTTTCAAGTGGGAGGTAGGATAGATATGGCCTGTTTTCCTGAAACCCTGCGTGGTGGCCACTGTTTAAGTTGATAAAACAAGCTTTTCAGGTTAATTATGCTCCTGTAAATTAATATATGTTGCAATTGAGAAGTTTGTGACACAGCTTAAATTTTTCCATTAGTACTAAAAGATATTGACATTTATTTATCAGTGATGCTTCTCCTTGGTTAGAATTGGCCCTTCAGAGATAGGACACCCTGCCATAATGAAGATAACCCAGGCAAGAGAATGCTGGATCCTTGTCATCAGGATAAGTGGGTAGAAGACAAAAGCCAGGACCAGGCAGGACAGAGGTAGATGCTGGAGTCTGTGAGGGCAGCTGGGTGGACAGACCAAGACACCAAATGGGGTGTGAGGCTCAGATGTGGTTAATGTAGGTGTTACTGAGCCTTCCTGGATAAGAGATCAGGTTCCTTCTCAGTGCAGAGATTCAGGGAGCCACTCCCAGTGGATTGTAGATGACATGCAAGATAAAAATTATTTGCTCTTCCAAACCTCAGTACTAAGCTGCTAGTACAACATGTTGTTACAGAATACCAAAGACCATGTTGGAAACAACTATAAAGTTCTTGAAGAAACAGCCAATGAAGACAAAGGAAAATTGTTTAAATAGTAACTGGTTCTTAATCAGAACTACCCTATTGACTAACAAAGAATCTGCATAATTCTTAAAAAAAAAAAACAAAACCAAAAAACTAAGGATGAAGAGCAAGAGGATGTCCAACATGTCAGGTTGACATATGAAGAGAGTCCAAGCCACAGGAGATTTTCCAAGTCAGGTTGACACATATATTCTAGACATTTTGAGGAGATTAAAACAATCATATCAGGATTCCAGCCATTGCCAGACCCTATTCCCATAGGATTAAGACAAGTCCATCAGAATCCCAAGAAAATGCTACAGGCAAAGTATACTGGGGGTTGGACCAGACTGGGAGGATGTCCACTCAGGGCTGCATAACTAGAGGAAGAATTCAAACCACTGACCAGAAGAGGAGTCAATTAAAGCTAGAAAGGCAGGGCTGCATGTCAGGTATAAAAAGAGTGAGGCAAGAGTGACCAGGAGAATATCTCATGAGATATGAAACCAGAATGGTCAGGAGCACATTCATGTGAGATGAACAGAGTAGATTGAGACACAGAATTTAAGACAGTGACCATTAATGATGTGCAGATGTTGCAGACCTGCTGTTAAAGAAGTCCTGATTATATGGCACAGAGGCAGACTCTGTGCAAGTCCTTGCACCATATTAAGGGCATGAGCAACAAGACCTGGCCCTTGAGGAAGGGAGTACATCCAGAGAGGAGTCTCAGCTGGAACCTGCAGTGTTGGGAAATTACCAGGCAGGACATAGACTGTGTGTAGGAGCAGAGCCCAGGAAGAAACTCAATCTTATGTGCTTAACAACAAAAGATTCAGAATGTGCCTTGTTGGCCACACAAGCAAGCACCACGTCTTATTTCTGGCCTGCCAGGTGCCAGCAGTATGACTCAGTCCCAAGCCCCATCAGATGGTGGAGGTTAGACTCTTGATTTATTTCCTCCAACCCAATCATGGTAGATTGGGAATCTAGCCCCTTACTACTCAGAGTGCAGTCCATTGTCCAGCAACACAGGCATCACCTAGGAGCTAGCTGGAAATGCAGAATCTCAGGCCCCACCCCCAACCAGTTGAATCAGAATCTGCATTTTAATAAAATCCCAACTTGCTTTATACCAGACAGAAGTTGACAGTAGACTAATAATTGATACAGGAGTATCTACATATGAATTTTAAAAAACGGAGTTTATCTTAGAAACTTGCTCATGTTTCCTCCTTTTTCCCCCTTGGCTACTAGAAGGTTGCATTTGAGAGAAGCCACTTCTCCTCTCTGAATCTCAGTCCCCACCCCCCATCTGATGAGGGGATTAAACTAGATTCTGTCTGTAAGAGTCTTTCCCTGAGATGTACTCTGGTCTTGGATTCTAAAGGCTGGCATTGATGTATACACACCTGTCCTACTTTCTGGAGGAAATCTCAGTGCCATTGACAAGCCAGGAAATTTTTCCCTGTGTGGTTCTGCCAAAACACAAGCTCAGACTATTGTTCAGCTCTGGCTAGGCAAGAGGGTTTTGTCAACCATTTGCTTGTTGAATAATGAAGCAGCTGAACAAGGTCCTGCATAGAAACATGCATTGTCTGGCATAACACAGGAACATCAGGACTGTGACCAGCATTTTCTGACTTTTACCAGAACTTTTATTCTGTCATTTAGTTTCAGGGATGACATATTCAGTAAGATACACACACGTGCACACACACGCACACACACACATACAAAAACCCTTAAGTTTGGATTAAGGTCACATCAGTTAAAAGTCCTCTTCTTGGTCTAGGCCAGGAATTGGCAAACTACTGCCTGTAGACCAAATCCAGCCCACTACTTGGTTTTACAAATAAAGTTTTATTGATACACAGTCACACTCATATTTCATTAAGTCACACACATAATTCATTTATGCATTAGTTATGGCTGTCTTCATGCTACCACCACTGAGTTGAGTAGTTGCAACAGATCTGTCATAAGATCTGTCATAAGACCCACAAAGCCTAAAACATTTACTATCTAGCCTTTTACAGAAAAAGTTTGCCACCCTCTGCTGCAGCCCAGGAGTGAAGGAAATGAAGTTTATATCTTCAGAGCAATGATATTTTGTCTAGTTTATGCAGATTTAATAAATGATGCATCAAGGAACTTAGAAGCTAGCTTTATGCTCCAGTGTGGTCTAATGAAAATGAGTAAGATTTTGACATGCTAGATTCAAAGCCCAGCTTTTCTGCTTATAAGTTATATAATTTTAGATAAGTTACTGAGCCTCTCTGAGCCTCAGTTCCCCCACTGATAAAATAAAATATTTACATGCTAAAGCCTGGGGATAATTGGATAGTCACCCCTTGTTACTCCTGGAACAAGAGTATAATCATCGCAGAGCCAAGAACTGACATCATGTTCATTATCAAGGCTGCAACCTGCCAAAAAGGTACCTGCTGACAAAGGGCAAGTTGCTGATTGTGATGGCTCTCATGCCTTTCAGAAACTTGGCTATAGAGTTTAGTGCCAACATGGCATGATGATCAAGTCATGGGCAACCCTCTCTGGGATGGAAGGATTTAGACCTGTTATAGATGCAGTATCTAGTTTCTTCCATTCACAGTGAAGGAAATTCTATCATCTACAGAAGGAATGGATCATTTACCTCCTTAATTAACCCTTTATTGTACTTACTGGTATACAGACCTCTCCCTTCTTACTATTTTATAAGCTATTTGAGGACAGGGACCATGTCCTATTCACCTAGCACAGTATCTGGCCCATCATAGCTGCTGAGTGTTTTTGCTGAGTAGACTACAGAGTCTGGGATTGTAGTCAGTCTGTTAACATCAATGCCCTGCTCATCACATCATCACAAAACACACACACACACACACACACACGCACACGCACACGCACACGCACACCCCACTGGTCATTCTCAAGCCAGGAGAACATGTGCATAATAGAGATACCAACAAATAGAGACACCAGGAGGCAGTTGTGTCCCCATAACAGAATCTGGCGCCACAAGGTGCCCCACAGTCTCCAGTGTCTGCAGATGGGGTGGAGACTGTGAGTGGTGCATCTGCCTTGTACCCCCTCGGGAGGAACAGCCGTTAGGTTTTTGGATGTGAAGGGCAAAAAGGCTTCCTCTACTGAAGACAGAACTTCAGGAGGAAGCTAAAGATGATGGTTGCCCCCCAGTGGTGGCACCTGAGGTAACTAGAGAAACGGTCCACAGAAAACAGTCTATGACCTATATAAACATCTAGAGAGCTACCTTCGCCCATAGCCTCCCGAAGGTCTGACTGCCAGAGAGTGGAAGCAAGAAGGGTGGGGACAGACAGGTGCCTGCGTGCCGTCATTTCAGGTCTGCTCTGGAGAAGAGCACTGGCTAGCTGCTGTCTTGTGTGATCTGAAAAAGCCATCCGGAATTCCTTCCAAGCTTATCGTCCCCCCAACCTGAGCTTTAACAAACCTGGTATAGTAGTCCCAGTGGGCCAGTGGCGCTCTCCTCACCCTGCTGGGCAAGTCGCTTAAAGTCTCTGGGCTTCATATTCCCCACCTATAAATGAGGGATAAGACATAGGATTTAGTAAAAAATGTATGTAAATCACACTACCTGGCACACAGTAGTGCCTAACCAAAATTAGGGGTTTACCTCTCAAGTCATGTCAGGGAGAGTCCCGAACTAAGAACTGACAAAAAGCCCATTAACTAAAATATAAGCCTATGTCTGGTTCCACTTCATTGTTGATCTGTCTCCTTTAAGGTGTCCTGGTCAATGAAATCCTCAATCACATGAAGAGTGTAACCCAGGGATCAAGCTACAGAAAACTTGTCATGTATTCTGCAGTGAGTATTTCTGTCTTCCTTCAACATCCGTTTGTTCAAGTGTGTAATTTCTCTGAGCATGGGGCCGCATCTTCATCTTCATTTCTTCGTCATCCAGAAGAGAGTGGGCACATGCACAGAGCTTTTAGAATTAAATGCATCATTCTGACCATCAAGGAGTTTATAATCTAATACTGACAAGACAAATAAACATATAAATACCATACAAAGCAGTATAGAAATGCCATACAATCAAGTGTTCTAGAGCCTAAGAAAAGGTAGCCACCTCTTCTGTGCTGGGAGGATGAGAAGAGAAGCAGGAAGGCTTCCTGGAAGAGGCAGTACATGCAACACATTGTGATGGAGGGGTTAGTGTCTCCTTACCAGTGTGTAGGGAATATAAAAGGAATTATTAGGATAGAGGTGAAAGGCCTGGAACATTATATGGAAGAGTTGGTACCAAATTAGTAAATGTTAACTGCGATGCCCAATACTTAGTAGCCACATGTAACTATTTAAAAAGATAATTATGATTACATAGAATAAAAAATTAAGTCCCTCAGTTACACTAGCCACATTTTAAATGCTCAACAGCCACATACAGCCAGTGGCTACTAAATTGGACAGTATAGATATAGAACATTTCCATCATCATAGAAAGTTTTACAGGACAGCCCTAATACAGAGTCTCAGAAGTTCGAGTTGGAAGGCAGCTGAAGGACCATCTTGTTCTGCTGCTGCTTTGGTTAATGTGGAGAGCAGCAAGGAAGCTGGGGAGAACCCCTACAGCATTTGCTCAGGGAAGGCAGGGCAGGGCTAATGGGATAGGAACTGCATTTCAGGAGTTAATCCCTCTTGTAGAATGACTGGATGTTGGGAACAGGATATAGTGTAGAAAGCCTTTGCAATGTAGAAAAATGGGGATGAAGCCTAAAACTAGGGCAGCGACAGGACAGGAGAAGAAGTAAGTGGGTTATAAAGGAGAGCTGAGTGTGCATGTCTCCATGATGAATTGGAATGTGAGTGGAATTGGAATGAATGGAATGATGTGCTAGGCAAAGCCACAGATGAAGGCAAGCTTTCAAGTCTCCGTGGCAGGAAGAAGGGGGAAACCATTAACAGAGGTGGTCTTGGGCCAGGTGAATGTATTGGTTAGACAATGGGTTTGAAATGCCACAGGGGCATCCAAGCAGAAAACTCCAGCTAGTAAAGGATAGAAGAGGAAAGGGAAAAGAGAATTGCAATTTGAGGTTAGGGCTACATTTGGGAAAAGAGAGATAGAGAGAGATCTTGGAGAAGACTTCCATCTTGGAGCAGAAGCCAAGGGAAGGGACAGTGTTGGGGCTGGATCGTGCATTCAAATAGCTGCCCACGTTGTCTGTGGTGAGCAGGGAAACAGGATGTAGTATGCTGACTCCTTCTCCCACTCCCCATGGCAGAGGGTTTCTTAGCTGTGGGTTGGCTGGAGAAAGCCATGTTTTCATTCATGCAAGAAGGTGAAAGGTAATTGAAGGTAAAGGAAAGTTTGCTTATTGTCAGGGGCTCTCAATGATACAGACTAAAGAAATAGCCCTCGGATGGAGCAAAGTGTGCTGCTTCCTGGAGAGAGGCAGGCCTGAAAGTAGTCAATTCAGCCAGTTTTGTAAATTTCGAATCTAGTTTCCGTTCTAATTTGTTGTGTGACTTCTAGCAAGTCATATCTATAACTCTCTTTTTTCTCTATTAGATTGCTTCTAACCCCTTTTGAATATGCATATGCTTTCATACAGTTTAGGCAGCCCAATCTTATCCCATTTTGTAGATATGGAAATCGAGGATTGCCTAAGATTAGATAGCTGATCAGTAGCAAAACTGGGGCTTTAAACGGCTCCTCTGTACCTTCCAGCCACACTATGGTCAACATTTCACTTTCTTATTTTTAAGCTGCACCCTCTACTTTCTTACATTTTATCCTCCCTAAACATTTATAACCTCATATACTCTCCCACAACTTTGAATCACAGATGATGCTAATCTATAAGAAAGTATAATATAGCATTAATGTGTTCTAAAATAGTTTAAAATTTAATGAAAATCGATGAAACAAGCTAAAGAAGAGTTAGGCTCTATTGGAAAAAGGCACATGACTTAAAATCAGAAAGCTTACATAAATCAAAAGCTTCACATTTACTTACCTCCATTTGGGGGTCACATGACATTAAGCAAGTTACTTCTCTGGGTTTCAGGTTTTCCATCTTTTAAGTGGAAATAATGATTTTTATGTAAATTTCATTGTCTAGAACACAGAAGATGTTCTTTTCTTCTCTACTTATTAAGTCACTGGGGCAGGGGAAATTTAATTGAATCAGAAACCATCATAGTGTTCTACAAGAACTGAACACTTATTGAATGTACATCTGAACAGAGGGAAAGAAAATGACTTGCTTCCATCTCTGCAGCATGACACTACTGTGAGTGGCCTACAGATGGCGCTAGATGTTTACAACGGAATGCTTCCTCCTTATGCTTCCTGCCACTTTATGGAATTGTACCTTGACAAGGGGTGAGTGCCTGAGTGCTTCACAAAATCAGTATCAGTGGACACTATGCTTTGTTATTATCATTATTGACTTAAGGGTTGTTGCATCTGTCTTTGATTTGGCTTTATATACAGAAAGAAGAATGGTGGTGAGTAACGGTATCTTTACTAGTCGTGGCTCTTTTTTCTTTGTTTTCATGAAGACTCTTATTGGGAAATAGTGTGCATACACAGTAGATGAAAAATTGAAGAGATCTACCCTAAGTGATAGAAATTATATTTTTTTAAAAAATTAAGGTATTCTAGGAAGTATGCATGCATTGTTCTCTTGGAAAACACAGGCTGATAGATAGCAAGAGAAAAATTAAAGTTCTTGCTGGTTATATAATAATATTCTTTCAATTAAAGAATTCAAATATATCCATTCACTTTCTGGTGATTTATATCCGCCAGTCAAGATTCTTAAAGTAGGCCAGGCGGTGGTGGCTGACGCCTGTAATCCTAGCACTCTGAGCGAGCAGGGCGATTGCTCCAGTTGGGGTTCGAAACAGCCTGAGCGAGACCCGTCTCTACCAAAAATAGAAAGAAATTAATTGACCAACTAATAATATATATACAAAAATTAGCCAGGCATGGTGGTGCATGCCTGTAGTCCCAGCTACTTGGAGCTGAGGCAGGAGGATCACTTTGAGCCAGGAAGTTTGAGGTTGCTGTGAGCTAGGCTGACGCCACAGCACTCACTCTAGCCCTGGGCAACAAAGTGACCTGTCTCAAAAAAAAAAAAAGATTCTTAAAGTACAACTGCTGACTGGTGTTTACCTCTTTGCGACCTGGTATGGCCTTCCCCAGCTGATCACAGCTGAGCTTGAACCCACCAGAATGGTTAGAGTGGCCAAATTTCCTGGTATGCCCAGAACTGAGGAGGCCTTTGAAACATGTGAGTTTCATTGTTAAAATTGAGAATGTTCTGGGAAAACTGAAAAGAGTTGATTACCATAGTCAAGGTCATACCAAAAAATTTGTATCAGCTGTGACAATGACATTCTCACTGGGAGATGAAGGTGTTTGGGACAAGTTACCAGAGTCCATGGGATATTATTGGTGAAATAAGAGCAAGGAGGGGGCTGCATTAAGACAGTGGCCCCAGAGTTTTGTTTCAGGGTTGGCTGGGGAGGTATATTTTGCTCTTCCCTCGAGGCATCCACAGTAGCTGCATAGTAGCCCAACTGTGCATTTACATAGGGCCCTGTGCTCGGAAGAGCCCATGCTTGTTTTAATGACCTGCTGTTCCCACCTTGAAATTCTAAATAATTTTTAAACAAAGGGTCCTGCATTTCATTTTGCAAATTTTATAATCTTGAATGTAGTTTTGTGGTCTCCTGAATTTGTAGAGTAGGAAAGTAACAGGAGAGAGACCTCATTCCCAACCAATATCTTCACTGCTTACAAAGAAAGTGGGTCCTACACAGTTAGGGAAGGGTAGATAGACCCTTTATGGGAGCTCTAACTGGATGCCAGGCAGAATGAGGTAGAACTAAAATGTGGTCTTAGCTAACCTTGCTCTCAAATATCTAGAGTCAGAGTGGAGAGACCAGATCCACAAAATGGAGACTAGCTAAATAGAGCATAAAATGGGCATGAGAGGACTAGAGCCATAAAATGTTCTCTTTACAACAAGCCCTGCACAAGTCTGTCCCTTTGAAGGCCAGCTCTGGACACAGAGTTACTCAGCCCAGCCAAAATTCCAGGATCAGCTCTAGGAGCAGGGCCCATCTCTTCAGGGGTAAGAGAAGCTACTGACTTTACCAGACTTTCCTCTCAGGTTTCTGCACTTCCATGGTCTGGAGCTTGTTTTATAAGGGCATGGCAGCATTTTCTCCCACTGAATTGCTTTCTCTCACTACTTTGAGTAAATCCATGCTATGAGTCAAGTATGGGGTAGGGTATTTTTCCAACTGAGACACATCGACATACAGAAAAAAAAAAAAAATTAACCAAGGGCTACATATAGTTCAAGTCAAGTTTATTGTTATATTGAGATGTTTTTATTTGGCACTTCACAGAAATATCAAAGGTTAAACTTGATTGCTTTTAAATTAGGAACAAGGAGGCTTCAAGTTACCAAATACAGTATATGCCTCCTTGTTAGGTGATCCTGACCTTGAGGTGATACCACATTTTCCATTTGAAAAGATAAGGAGGGGCTGGGTACGGTGGCTCACACCTATAATCCTAGCACTCTGGGAAGTCAAGGCAGGTGGATCGTTTGAGCTCAGGAATTCGAGACCAGCCTGAGCAAGAGCAAGACCCCACCTCTACTAAAAATAGAAAGAAATTAGCTAGATAACTAAAAATATATAGAAAAATTAGCCGGGCATGGTAGTACATGCCTGTAGTCCCAGCCACTTGGGAGGCTGAAGCAGAAGGATTGCTTGAGCCCAGGAGTTTGAGGTTGCTGTGAGCTAGGGTGTTGCCACGGCACTCTAGCCCAGGCAATAGAGTGAGACTCTGTCTCAGAAAAAAAAAAAAAGATGAGGAGGGAGTCAGAGAGAATGTTTTAGACTTTCAACTATCTTAAATATATAAACTGTTCAGGTAGCCACATATATACTCAAAAGGTTTCATTTTTAGTTAGCTACATAAATTTAAAACCACAGACTATATAAAATAATTGATTAACTTGAAAAATTTTGCTTTTTTTCCATTTTTATGTTTTATGAAGCAATTTCATCCAAAATCTTTGTATGCATCTTTAGCTTGTGTCTTTACCACTAGGTCCAATTTTGAGTTCCCTGAAACAATTTTCCAGATATATTAACTAATAAGGGTAATTTTGACTTCTGTACAAATGAACCTCAAATTCTCAGAGGCTTAGCCCAATGGAAATTAATTTCCCCCTTATCTAACAGTCCAATGCATGTGTTCCTAGTCACTAGAACTCACCCAAATGTGATTCACGTGTGGTTATTCAGGCACCCAGGGCTCCCTCTTTTGGGCCTACAGTTTCAAGAGTGCTATGCTCATCTACAGGCAGCTTGTAGAAGGAAATGAAAGAGTGAAGAAAGCAACCTGGTATAACCACATCAGCCCCAAAAAAGACATATCATTTCTGCTTACATTCTACTAATTTAAACTAGTGACTTCATTCCACCTAGGTGCAAGGGAGTCTGAGAAATATAGTCACTTTTGAGCCATAACTCTATTCTATGGAAAGAGAATCATGAATTTTGATGTACTGTTGGTCATCTAGGCCAATCATCTTGAAATAGAAGATACCATCACTGGAAAAGTTATTCCAAGATACAAGTTCTCATTCATATATTAGGGAAGATTTTAAAAACATATTTTATAAGTGAATATTTGCAGTTACTATGTTTATATGTCTTTTTAAAGTGATATTTTAAAAGGTGTGTTTGTAACAACATCCAAAAGTTGCCATTGTGGGATTACTACTCCAAGAAGGGTCACGCAATCCTATTTGAATTTCTCTCCTGCCTTTCTAATGGGCAAAAGACTTCCATGCGCAACTCATACTAGTTTCACTGAGGTTAGTTTAGGCCATTGCACCTTCCCCAAATAGCACTTTGTTTTGGGAAATAAAATACTGAGAGAGCCCTTCTTAATATGACACAACATAAGGACTTGAATATATACCCATCCCTCTTTCTAGGGGATACTTTTTTGATAAAGCCTTGTGGTATATTCTATTATAGCTCATATGTTATACATTATTAAATTATATGTTTATGGCTTAGTTTAGTAGAGGGGAGATCCATCCAGGGGAAGGATTGAAAGAAGTATTGAGAGAGGAAAAGAGGCAAAAGGAAGCAGGAAAGTTGAAAAGAAGGGAATAGGAGAAAGAAAAATCCAATGCCTCCACGTGCCCCCAATTCTTATTCAAAGGCTCATCAAGGTCCCACCAGCTCTCCCAGCCATCGCCTGTCACCTCCTCCTCTGATTAAGCATCATGGTCTCTACCTCCTATGCCCCTGTTCATAATAAACCAGCCCTCCCATTTCCACCTTGCAAATCTATCCCACCTGCCGCAATCTCCCCATTCCCACACCTAAATTGGCTAAAATCTCCTTGTTCCCATAAGTTTTTCCACTAGTCCCTCACCTGACATGTTACAGTCCAGGTGGAAGGAAGCTCAGTGGCGGCTCAACAACACAGAACTCACAGAGCTCTCCATCTGCCTTTCCCCCCCAGGCAGTACTTCTTGGAGATGTACTACCGGAACGAGACGCAGCACGAGCCGTATCCACTCACACTACCAGGCTGCACCCACAGCTGTCCTCTGGAGAAGTTTGCTGAGTTGGTTGCCCCTGTGATCCCTCAAGACTGGTCTGCGGAGTGTATGATCACCAGCGACCACCAAGGTACCAAGGACATTACAGATTGACTTGCACAGAGATCTCCATAGAGACAGCAGATGCCCTAGAATGTAAACCCCTAGCTTTGAGGAAAATGGATTTTGGGTGATAATTGTATGTTTCAGGGACCCTCAACCTCAGGCAACTCCTACTCCTTCACCTGGCCCTGACCCCACTTGCCATAAAATTTAACTCATTTTTTTTTTCAGTGTTAATATAACAGGGCATCAGTGCCAAAATATAATCAGAAATAAAACTTAGGTCAAAGTTCATCGGGCTCTAGCACTCTGGGAGGCCAAGGCTGGCAGATGGCTCAAGGTCAGGAGTTCAAAACCAGCCCCAGCAAGAGCGAGACCCCTGTCTCTACTAAAAATAGAAAGAAATTAATTGGCCAACTAAAAATATATAGAAAACATTAGCCGGGCATGGTGGTGCATGCCTGTAGTCCCAGCTACTCGGGAGGCTGAGGCAGCAGGATTGCTTGAGCCCAGGAGTTTGAGGTTGCTGTGAGCTAGGGTGTCGCCACGGCACTCTAGCCAGGGCAATAGAGGGAGACTCTGCCTAAAAAAAAAAAAAAAAGTTCATGGGGCCGCCATGCGCTATATGACTGACCACACAGGAGCTTTTGTTATTTAAGGACTCTCAGATTTTGCTTGAGCAGCCTGTTCCTTAAATGCCCGAAGTGGAATTAATTTCAAACAACACCCACAATCTAGGGTGGGAGCAAGGAAGGGAAGATGTTAATCTTTTGGGCAAAGCAGCAACTTACCCATCAGTTCCAGCCTTCTCTCAAGGAGAGGCAAAGAAATAAGACACAGTGGAGACATCTGGAGAAGCATTCTCCACTGGGAACATGGTGCTATCTGTTTTTGATATTTATGTTAAAACATATTGGGCAGCAGACCTGAAAAACAAAAGCCTCTTTGTGTCCTTTGGCCCTGGAACATTCCTGTTCCTTTTAAAGAAACAAAAATCAAACTTTCCAAGAAGATTTGACATATGCAGTGTGAATGCATACTGCAGTTCTTGGATTATATACGTCATAGCAAAGAACTCATCTGATGAGAGTAAGCTATTGAGCCAGGACACATCAGAGGTGAGAGCACTCACTGCACGATGGAGTTTCTCTTGAAGCTCTGGCGGTAAGAGATGTTGAATCTGAAGTGGATTTAAGAGAGGAAGACACATATCAAACTGAACAAAATTAGAAATGTAACAATGTTCTAAGTACCTCCAAGTTCAAATCTTAATGGAACGTTGAGAGTGTGGTTGTGAAATCTGTTCAGAGAGCAAAAGGAACGTATGAGGCTTTGATTCTGGTATCTTCAGAAAATCTAAGCAAAAACACAGGTCGTCCTGCTGAAACTGCTCACTGTTGTGCAAGAAGAAATCATGTTTGAATGATACTCTTTACAGTCCTATAGATTTGCCATGTGGCAGATGCAACAAATCCAGAGAACATGGTGCTATATGACCATTACGGATAAAGATGAGATGATTTCTAGAGATGGTTTCCACCGTATGCCAAACTCTAGAGCAAAACCATCCCCTCTCCTGGTTGGTTCACAGAATGACTGACACAAGACATTGATTGATATGCTGCTTTGTGTTATTTCTTTCCCAAGTAAATATTTGTCCTTGGGGACATCATCCATGCTTGTAACATTCTTCTAGCAGTGAGCCAAATGTAAAAGAGTAAATAAAGTCATCATTAGGAAGCTCAAAAGCATTACTTGTATAATGAGCTATGAAAAATGTGTGTGTGTGCTTAATTAGAATAAAATTCCTGCAGGCAGATTTCAGGGGCTCACTTTTGGGGGGTTTTGTTTTAATGTAACAGGAGGGGAAATATTAATATAAAGTAAAAATATTTGACTGGCTTAAATGAACATTTTACACTGAAAATTAGTTTGGACTTCACTACTTCAGATAAAGGCTAAGTAAGCTGTGGATGGCTCTTCCTCATCCGTTTGAGATGGAACTTGCTAAGAAAACGCCCTCAGGAAGTGCACAGTGTACTAGGGAAGTAAAGTGATACATACGGTATTACACAGAATGACAAGGGTTATGTCTTATGACTACACTGCTTGGAACGGGAACAAGAGTTACCCAGATTTAAGGGGAGGAAGTAAGGAAGCTTTCTGCGGAAGGTAGCAACTGCACCATGTGAAGTCAGTTTGGAGGGAGGTTTCTAATTGTATGGGACAAAGTATTTGAGAGGCACTCATCAAATGTCCCGGTGGCTTGAAGCTGGAAAGGACAGGAGAGTTACTCAGCAGAAGATTCAGGATCCGAAGAGATTCCCACAGGTCTCATTCAAGGAGGAATTTTATTAAAAAACAAACTATCAGCTCCACAAGAACAAGGATTTTATCTGGTGTGTTGTCTGCTCTACCTGTCCTCAATACCTAAAAGTGCCTGTACTGGGCATGGATTGGTGCTCAATAAATATTTGCTCAATTAACGTATAAATTAGTTACCTTTCCTCCCTGAACCTACTCTTCTCTTTCTTGATTAGCAGCAATACCCAGTAACCTAGGAGTCATTTTCCCCCACCTTCTCCTCCAGCCCCTGTAGTCTCTCACCTCTTCTTGTCAAATCTACCTGCAGTATATTGGTAGCGTTCTTTTCCTCAAAACATCCATATCAAAAATTCGTTGTCTAAGTAGAGTGAGGTATGATGAAGCAGAAAAACATGTTCATAAAAAGAAAACATAGGAGTTGCTGTGCTGTAGCCAGCTCATACAGATCTCAAGAGTGGAATGTACATATCCCTTCCCAACTCTGAGTTCAGCAACTTCACTTTGGCAGCTTGAGGCTGGTCATGGCAGGAGTATTTTTTACCACAGAAATCAACAGAGACTACAAATCAGAGGTGTTTTATGTTTTGTTTTGTTTCTTTGATCCAGTTTACCAGCACATTGCTGCTGGTTTTAGCTCATAGAAAGCTTGTTAAGAGTCTCTGACATAAGGTGGCCCCTTGTAAAGCAAGTACGATATTTGAACTTCTTTAAGTAAAAGGGAATAGATTTGTTCCATACAGTCTTAAAGAGTGATGCTAGGAGCAGCAGGTAAAAATTTGAGGAAAACAGATTGTCCTTAAGAGTTGGGAAATTCCTGAGACAGGAACTGCCCACCAGGCTGGGTGACTACTTGCCTTGGCAGAGTTACTACAAAGCAGTTCAAAGCATGGAAGTTTACAGGGGTTGAATGATTCCTTAGCAGGGCCACCAAATTTGGCAAATAAAGGTATGGATGTCCAGCTAAATTTGACAAACAGCACTAACTGCTGAACTTTTATAATTCAGTGGAAAAAAGCAGAACACAAGACAGGGTGTTCTGAGAAAGCCAGTTCAGGAAGCAGGACAAAATCATTAAATACAGGACACGCCCTATATATGCAAGTTGCCCGACAGCCCTACTTCTTGGGGTATTTCCAACCATAAAATTCTACCCATAACCATAAGCAGTGTTTTTAGCTAGTACTAGTAGGCCCAGTTAACCAGATCATATTAATTTAATTAACCAGGGTCTTTGCTGGAAATTTCATAAGTCTAAGCTTCATACTGTGTTACTTGAAAATAATAAAAATTTATTTTTAAAAAAAAGCTTCTTTAATTTCAAAACTTTACTAAGACAATCAGACTTCCTTCACTAGTGTTCTCCCACCTTCTACGTCAGCATATAACTCTAGTTATTTCACAAGAGGGAGATTCACTGGTGGGAAATTCCCGTTTCCTCTCAGTATCTTTGTAAAGCTGAAAATCTGTGGTACATATACACATGTCCAAGATTCAACCATGAGCATCTTAAAATTTTTTTCCTCTTTAAATCATCAGACAGTAGATAATGCCTGGTGCTTTCCACTAGTATTTGCTAACTAAATAAATGTTCAGCCCTCCGTCCCTAGCCTGACTTCCTCGTGGCTGGGCCCAGATATCAGAAGCCTAGAACTCAATAAATAGGGGAGAGGAGCAACGAATGAGCCTCAAAAGTGACTACACTCTACAGCCCCAACCGCTGGCCATGCATACACATGTACACCCCAACATGCCGTTTTATTTGACCTGTGTTTTCAGCACAGTTGCCTGGCGTGCTCTGGTTCCTCCATTGCTGTTAAGAGCCCCTGTTCAATGATATCCCATCCAGCACCACCTCCCACCAAGAGATGAGGCCACCAGATTGTACCACCATTTTCCCCATTCTTGTTGCCGTTGACATCAGTTTCCCAGGACATGTCTAATTGCTTGCTAAAGACTTTGGCACTTGCTTTGGCATGTGCCAGTTGGCTCCTCACTCCCACACCTTCTCTTCATCTAGGCAATTCCAACAGTCACGATGCTGACCTTCCCATACCCTGCCCACCATACCAGTACAGCCCTAGACTTTTCAAACTATGGATGTCGAAACTTCCATTCCATTCTCAGCTGGGTCTTTTCACACCACTTAACTTGGTAAATGTATTCACCTTTATTGGACCCTTTTCCAACTCTCTACAGGAAGGCCTTTTTATTTTTCCCAAACTTCTGATTCCATTTTGTCTTCTTTATTCTTATAAGCAAGACAAGCCATTGATAACTCTTTTAAGTTCTCTTCTCACTGCCCCCAAATATCTCAGTAGCTTTAACTTTGTTTTGCTGCTGTCCCCCAGGAAAACCTGTCCATGCTTGAGTGGACTGCGTCTTCTCACTACCCATATGATCCCACTCGACAGTCTCCTGGGGGCCTCGCTGAATCTCTTACTTAGCTTCATTTTCTTCCTCGGCACTACCCCCTTCCTTTCTACTATGAAAATGTCCAAATATCCTCTCATCAAAACACCTTCAAGTGCCTGTTCCATCTCACTCTCTTCAATACTAATTTTCTTAAACTAATAATTTATATTCTCTAGCACTATTTTCTCATCTCCTTCTCCTTAGCCATTCTGTAAAATTATGTTCGTCTCTCCATCATCTCTTTTTTTTAAAAAAAAGTCCCTTTTTAAAATTGTCAGTCCCTAATTCAGTGGCCTCTTTTTCTTTCCTTATAAAGCAGGGGTCAACACCCCTGCTATCCACAGAAGAAAGCTGAAACTTAGAGAATAACATGCCCTAAGTAGTAGGGTCAGGATTCAAACCTAACACTCTCCAACACCAGATTTCTACTATAGAATATTCCCCTTTCATTCCATACTGTCTTACAGACTATTCCCCTAGGGTAATTTCCAAAATTGGATTAGTGGGTCAAGGTATGTGAATATTTAATGAAAATAGATATTATTGAGTACCTATTATGTACTCAATATGTACCTATGTCCCAGGCATTAAGTTTTCTGAGGAAACAGCAGCAGACAAAAAGGCTGTCCCCGTGTGACTTGTAGACCTTGGAGGGTAAGGAGGAGAGGACAAAGACCAGGTGATAAAGAATTAAACCAGCCCTAACAGCCTAGGGCTGTTAGTGAGTCTTGGGATGAAAGGCATACAGGATGAAGGGCAACAAGAACACACAGCAGAGGCAATTAGCTCAAGTCTAAGGTGTCAGAAGAGGCTTCTCAGAGAGGTGACCTTTAAACCAAAACCTGAAGGAGAAAAGGAATTAACCAGGTAAACAGGTGAGGAGATAAGAGGATGTTACACTCAAAAGAGGAGAAAGTATAAAGGCCAAGAGGCTAAAGGCAGCATAAGGCATTTCGGAACTGGGAGAAGTCCGGTGAGTATGCGGAGGGCAGGGCAGGAATCACGTGGTTCATAGGTCAAGCTGAGTAGCTGAGGTCATTGAAAGGGTTTAGGCAGAGGACAGATACTGTAATTGGCTTCTTGTTTCAGGAAGATTTTTTGGCTTCCATGGGCAAAGTGGATTGGAGAAGACTGAAACCAGAGGCAGGGAGAACAGTTAGGAGACTGTTATGATATTCCAAGGACTAGGGGGAATGAAAGAGAAAAGCAGACTATTCAAAGGGTGAAAAGAAGTAGGATAGGCAGAAGTTGAGGATCAACGGCAAGAGGGAGAGGCTTTTGATGCATATTGCCACAGTGGCTTTCAAAAAAGTAGTGCCAATTTACACTGCCTTCCGAAACTTTTGCATATCCCCATGCAGGACACCTCTTCAGTCATTACCTGCATTGGACCTCCTCATAGTTAGATACGGTTGCTCACACTCTCTTTTCTCAGCTTTGCTCTGCCAAACTCCTAAAAGGTTTTGCAGTCCAAGGGAGCCAACAACTTAAAAATAAATGAACAATGTATGCAAGAGAGGATTGTCTTTGTTCTCAGGCTCCTCATTCTAGACTCCCCACCAGTCAGTATACCCAGGCCTCTGTCATCTACATCTACAATCCTCGTTTCCACATCTAATAATAGAATTCTTGACCTGTTTCCAAGCTGCCTACTGATCATCTCTAACAGGACAATAACCCATCTCAATCCCATATTGGAATCAAAATGTATTAATTTGTCCTACTCCAATCCTTTTTGTGGTCCCAAACTCAATTCATCTTCTCAGTCACCCAAAGAGGAACCCATGAGATTGCCTTGACCGTAACTTCTCCCTTATCAACATATTTAGCCAGTTACCAAAGCCTGTTAACTCTACTTCAGGAGCATCTCTTGAATTCCCTCATCAGCATTCCCAGGGCCGCAGCTTCAGCTCTGAGCCCTCAGTATCTTATTCAAGGTATTCAGTAGCTCCCTACCAGGCCTACCATACCACCATCCTGTCTTTTCCACAGTTATTTAAAAAAAAAAAAAAAAAACACAGAGTGGGCCTAGTCACTTCCTTGTGTAATAATTGCTGAGGGCTTCCATTTGCACCATGTCAAACCAGACACTCTAAAAACTGGGCCCCAATCTGCACATCTGGACTTACCTCTCTGAAGCCTATGCTCCGGCCACCTGTAACTGCTCACTAATTCCCACACGTCCCCTTGTGCCACTGCAACCCTTTTTGTCTCATGGCAAAATCCTACTCACCTTGCAGGCCAGCTCAAATCTCAGAAGACGTTCTAAACTCTTTCTCTCCCAGATAGAATACACTCTGTTGATTGCAACTTTCTCTCTGTTCCAAAGGCATATCTTTTATGCCTCCATTTTAGTGTTTATCACATTGTCTCATAATCGTCTATCAGGTTCTCCCACTAGACATTGAGCTCCTTAAGAGCAGAGACGATGGAACCTCAGTACTCAGCACAACCTGCCTGGCACATGGTGTGTGCTCACTGCATATCTAGGGAGGAAGGAAGAAGCATGGCAGGGAAGCATATCCCATGGGACTACTATGATAACAAAGCCAATAAAAATAACTGAAAATAAATTTCTAAATACAAAAAGTCAGCCGTGAAAATACATTTTTAAGAATAATTAGTATCTACCTTCTGCCCTCATTTCCATTTAGTTTTTTCTTTCCTTCTTCAATTTTATTTAGTTCCTTTCACCTTATATTAACTCCATCTCTGTTATTTCTAATGGCACTATCTCTCAGGGTATAACTTTATTAATAATCACCTTCTTGTGATGCTAAGAAGCATCCTGGTATCAAGAGAAAAACACTGGACTAGGAGTTGGAAACCTATAAGTTCTAAGTCATTAATTTTTTGTGTAAATATATATATATTTATATATTTACACATGTTCTATGACTCACTAGGGTTCTACAGAAAGAGATGACAGGATCAGAGAGATGCTTGCTCTCTCACTGCCTAAGCCAACAAACAACCCTATATCTTCACGAGGAAAATATATACACCTTTAGAGATGGTATAAACTGGTATTTATGATGAGTATACTACAGTAGACTGGGGGTGTTCGTAATAGAGTAACTTTCCAGATGAAGTAACGAATTAGCATCTCATACAAAAATGACCCCATATATCTGATTCATGACTGGTCAGCTATCTAAGAGATGTATGTGTCTGGGAAGCTGAGGTGGGAGGATTGCTTGAGGTCAGGAGTTCAAGGCCAGCCTGAGCAACATCGAGATCCTGTCTTTATAAAAAAAAAAAAAATAGAGAAATTAGCTGGACTTGTGCCTATAGTCCCAGCTACTTGGGAGGCTGAGGCAGTAGAATTGCTTGAGCCCAGGAGTTGGAGGTTGCAGTGTACTATGATGACACCATTGCACTCTAGCTGGAGCAACAAAGTGACATTCTCAAAAAAAAGAGCATGGGGGAATGTGTATGTATTAGCAATAGTACACAGTTATGCCAAAAATGTTTCCCATAGTCAACGTGTGCTCAAGGTTGCCTCTCTAAAACATATTTACCTGAAAATCAAAGAGTGAGACTGGAGGCAGGGAGAACAGTTAGGAGACTGTTATGATATTCTAAGGACTAGGGGGAATGAAAGAGAAAAGCAGACTATTCAAAGGGTGAAAAGAAGTAGGATAGGCAGGACTTGAGGATCAACGGCAAGAGGGAGAGGCTTTTGATGCATATTGCCACAGTGGCTTTCAAAAAAGTAGTGCCAATTTACACTGCCTTCAGCAACTTTTGCGTACCCCCATGCAGGACACCTCTTCAGTCATTACTGTATTGGACCTCCTCGTAGTTAGATACAGTTGCTCACACTCTCTTGAAAGATTCCATTTCTTTTAGATCTCATTGATTGCAGTTGAGTGTTCAGAATTTCCTTTCACCCTGAGACCATGAACAATTGTTAATTTAACCGTAGAAAAGTGCATAAAGTTAGTGCTATAAGAGGACCTTAAAAATGCTGCAGCCAATTATCATCCCTTTATATATAAGTGGGGAGCAAAGGCCCAAGGGTCAAAGGTCATGCTAGAACTGGAACCTAGGTCATTTCCTGACTCCTAATCCTGTGGGGTTTTTTTGTTTGTTTGTTTTTTTACCACACTATCTGATTTCAAGGCTACTTCAGAAGCTCCTCTAAAATTTGCAATTAGGGCAGAAATCAACACTCATGTGTGATCTTCATATTTTCCTAACATATTTATTTTACATTAATACTTTTCCTATTCTTCCGCAGTTCTAAGGATTGTCCTTGCTATTGCCTTTTGCCTGGTATCTGGTGTCCTGGTGGTGCTGTTGTTTACACTTATTCGCCATGGGCCCTGCTGGCAGAGAGACTCCTATCGGAACATCTGAACAGATGGCTGAACAAGAGGGGACAAGCCAGGCCAACCTCGTTGCTCAGTGAAGCAGCATCTGAAGCACCAGCTTTTGCCATGTGGGCATTGCCCTGCCCACACCCTTCCTTCAGAACCTGCCTGGAGGAGGGTCTGAATTCACAGCGACCCATGTATAGCTGCTGGACTGACGGATGAATGAACACGCAGGCTACTTAGTTAGGTCTTCTCATCATTGCATGATAGTGTAGGCTGCTCATTTGGCTAGAAAGAGGTGCTTCTGCAGAGGATAGTTGTATTCTCTGACACAGATGTCTAGAGACAAAGAAGACAAAGTCCAACCAGCTTTTGTCTGCAAAGAGCAAAGAGTAAGAAGGTAGACAAAGACAAAGATTAGAGAAAACTGGATAATGGAGAAAGTTATATTAAAAGTAGTATCATACAGGATGATTCTTTAAAAATAAGACCAAATCAGGAATTATAAACTTTTTCCTTAGTTATTAGATTTAATACACACACACACACACACACACAAAAGAAATTCCTACTCAGTGTTTGATAGCTAACAGATTTCCGTGTGTATGTCTGTATACTAACACACATATATACACATATCCATATTTAAAATACCTTCAGGAGAAGTATTTAATTCTCAGAAACTGTAGTATCAACCACTTTTGATGTGACTCAGGTAACCTTCCCCAGCAATTTCTACAGTGAGAAAAATTGGAAAATCCATGTAACCATAGATCTTTTTTATCTCCACTATCACACCTAGATATTTATACAGTTTTTATTTCTTTATTTCATTTTAAAATTATAAGATCGTACTTTGATAAATGCTATTCATGGCCATAATGACATGATAATGTATTTTAATTGCCACAAATAGGTCTGAATTTTACAAGTACTGAGGTAGATAGAAAGAAAAGTGGACGGGGAGTGGGGGGGGTGGGAGTGTTGGCTACTCACGGCCCCAGCTCTACACTGGCTTTGGGCACACGACTTGGGACATGGCCTTTTCTATTTTACACTTTGGTTTCCTAACCTAAAAATGAAGAATCTGGATTAGATGAACATAGATGTCACATCTAGTTCTCAGGTTCTGTGAACAATTTTTTTTCATTTATGCTACGAATGAGTCATTGCCCAAGCAAATGCTGTCATGGATGGTACCGTGGTGATAAGTCTGACATTTACTCCACACAATTTCATTCTGCTCTGAGCCTCTAACCATCCAGTAGGTGGGAAATTCAATCTCACCCCTCTACAGGGCTCTCCACCTCCTCAGGTTCTACTAAAGGTCCCAGAGTATATACCTGGTAGCAGGAGTCAAAGAAGGGTCCTGTAGACTCCTGTCCACACTGGTCCCCGATCAGCTCACTGTCCATGCCCACACAGTCTTCTGAAGGTAGGCAGAGGACATCTGTGCCATGGCTCCCAAGAACATACTCTTGGAGTTTACCAGCCTGGGACGGTGGAGTCCTGGGGTGATGATATCTTTGCTCAGCATGGAACTCTTCCCCCAAGCCCCCCAGAACCCCACTCCATCTCTTAGTATGAGGAATCTTCCTCTCCCCTTGGGTCCCACAGCTTCTACCTAATAAACATCAAGCACTTACCTCTATCACCTCTACTTTCTACACGATTCTTACTGAACCAAGACTATTGCAAACAAAAGCCTGAGGAGAAGTTGTCTTCTCTTGCCTGGCAACTTCTGCTTCCTGCTGCAACACAAAAGCCACTTAGGCAAAAATAAAATAAAAAAAAAAAACAAAAAAAAAAAACCAACCAAAATCCTAACCTAAGAAAAGGGGAAAAAAACATCTATAGCAGCAAGAATAAAGGACAAATTACTGTCTTGTTAAAGTAGATAGTGTATTAGTACATAGGCTACAATATCATACGCTAATAAGTAATGAGACTTTAGAAGTATAAACAGAACCACAGGTCATAGTTTGTCTCAACAAACTGGATGGGGTTATTGCTAATCACTGACCAAGATGCCAAATCATCTACCCCTAATGTAATTATTAATGTGTTTGGTTTCAACACCAACCTTTACAGGGTTGGTAAAGTATAAAAGTAAAAGCTTTGACAACCCTTTCCCCAAATCATCTTTAATACTGTCCACGGCTAAAAAGATCTCTACTTTCTGTTGGTTCTGAGAGATTTTTTAACATTTCTCTTCCTTCTACCATCTCCTTTGATTATAATAAAGAAAGCTCTCACTCCCAACCTAGTTTGTTTCCTCTACCTTCCACAGAGCTACTCTGTCAATAAATATGGTAATTGTTTTTCATACTTCATGGCAGAATGAAAAATCACAAGTGACAAATGATCTATAACAATAAAGTAGAGAGCACAAAGGTACTGTAATGTTTCTCAAGAAATAAGGTAGTCATCCAATTTCAACCAAAAAAGGATGTAAATTCTTTCTAATGATAATAGTGACTTTTTCAGAAGGGTCAGGGATGATCAGTCCAGTTGCCATGATAATAAATATTGCTTGAAAGATAATCGCTAGAGCTGAGATCACCTCTGCTCCAAAATGTTTCCTCATTTGAACCACTATGGAGGCTTTAAACAGGATTAGAATAAGACAATAATTATCACATCAATGGAGGGGCTTTCCCTAGCATAAAAATTACCAGCAGCATATAAGCAAGAAAGTACTAAGGAAGAATGTAGGTAGACTATCCCTAGCTAAAATGGCATTGTACAAAGAAAAGTATATATTAAAATGATATGATTATAAAAAGAATAATTTGTGGCTTTAGAAGAGTGCAAGCCTTAGAGGCAAACATTTTACTGGTTTTACTGGGAGTCATTCTACCAACAAACCATTTTTTATGTTAGAACTGGCATTTCTTCTCCCTGAATTCAGTCATGTTTCCTATTCTCCCAACTTCCTGTTCTCTTTCTGTCTTGTTCTAATATTGTTAGCATTGCTTCCAAAGGGTTACTGTTTTCTCTTTTAAAAACTCTCATTCTTTTCAGAAATCCCATTTGAGCAATAGCAAGTGTGTGCAACATTTTGGTGCTTTAGACCGGGGTGGTCTAATAGAAATAAAATGCAAGCCACAAATGAAAAACACATATGTGATTTTAAACTTTATAATAGCCACATTTTTAAAAGGTAAAAATAAAAAGATGAAATTCATTCTAATAATAAAATTTATTTAACCCAATGCATCTAATCACTTCAATGTGTAATCAATATTTAAAAAGTGTTAATGGGATATTTATGGGGTTTTTTTCATACTAAGTATTTAAAATCTGATGTGCATTTTATCCTTGTAGCACATCATGATTTAGACTAGCCACATTTCAAGTCTCAATAGTCATATGTGGCTGATGGCTACTATATTGGACAGTTCTGCTTTAGATCATTAGATGACACCCTTTTTGAAGCAGAGAGAATGTATTCCTTGTTATAATTTGTAAAATCCACTTCCAAGTTATTGAGAAAAAATAATGGCTAACTTAATGAAAGAGCATTCTGAAATGTTTTATTTGTAAGCCCATTTTAACAGTAGCAGCCCAGACCTTTTCCAAAACTCTCCTAAACTAAATGGACTAACTCCTCTTCTTATTAAATGTCTTAAGAAGGAACTTGATAACACGCTCGGAAGGTAAGTACTTGCTAGATTTGATGCTAGATTTGGTAAGTACTTGCTAGATTTGGGTAACTTTTACAAGTTTAAGTGTTTGTGAGGAATCTATATTCAAAACAAAAATAAAGATAATACAGAAGAGTATAAAATATAAAGTAAAAAGGTCTTCCTGCCCACTTTGAATCACCATTGGCAGATTTCAGTTCTGCTAGTGAGTAGCATTCATTTTATAAAACATACTTTTATTTTCTGAAATTTTCACATCTTTCTCCGCTCTTATAACCCATGGTGTTCTCTTTCTTGTATTCTTTTTTTCATTTTCTTGAAGTAATTTTTTTAAAAGGATGCATGGACAGTAAGCTTTGTGATCCTAATGTGTCCAGCCCTGTCTACAGTTTGCCCTTGCACTTACCTATCAGTTGATTGGGTATATTCAGGTCGAAAATCATTCCCCCCCCAAACTTTGAAGGCAATATTCTGCTGTAATCTGCTTTGTTTGTTTTGTTTTTCCTGAATTTTAAAAGGCATTCTTGGCCAGTGTGTTGGCTCACACCTGTAATCCTAGCACTCTGGGAGGCCTAGGCGGGCAGAGTTCAAGACCAGCCTGAGCAAGAGCGAGACCCCATCTCTACTAAAAAAAATAGAAAGAAATTAGCTGGACAACAAATATATGTAGATATATATATATTTTAGCCAGGCATGGTGGCACATGCCTGTAGTCCCAGCTACTGGGGAGGCTGAGGCAGGAGGATTGCTTGAGGCCAGGAGTCTGAGGTTGCTGTGAGCTAGGCTGATGCCACGGCACTCTAGCCCAGGCAACAGAGTGAGATTCTGTCTCCAAAAAAAATAAAAAAGGCATTCTCTTTATACTTGGAGTTCTGAAATTTCACCAGAATGTATTTAGGTGTGGGTTTTTGTTTTATTGTTTGTTTTCTGTCTAATTCTGTGTGGTTTGCATGAGTCTTTTCAATCTAAAGACACTTGCTTTTCTCTGACATAGGGAAATTGTGTTCGGGAACTTGAATTTCTTGGATCTATCTTCCATGGCTCAACTTTTCTCTCATATCTTCTACCTTTTTTATTTTATATGTCTGCATTATAATAAATTTCACTTGCCAGTACAACAAGTTGGTCTTCAGCAACTGCAGTATTCTTTTTGTAATTTCAAAGTATTCTTTCCTGTTCACTGAGTGTTCCTTTTTCACGGTGGCCTCATTATTTTATTAGCGCAATCTTCCTGCGAACATCTTTAAGGATACTAAAATATTCAGGTTCTCCTCTGCTCCCTAAGTTATCTCTGTTTTCTCTGGGCACAGTGTTTGACTTTATTAATCTTAGACTTCTTTCATGCTATGGGCTTTTCTCAAATTCTTGTGAATCATAATCCACATATGAAGAGCCCTGAGGATTAGTACAGATGGGTGGTGTTGGTTTTCCTTTTTGTCATGTGTATGTTTCCCCAACAATCATCTTCTTGAATAACTGCTTTAAAATTCTCATGTGCTAATTGCAACACCTTAGTCATTTCAAAACCAGTTTCTACTGACTGTCTTGTCCCCTGAGTAAGGGTTCTATTTTCTTATTTCCTTTTATGTAGAGCAATTTGGGGTTGTGTCATAGACACTGTGAATAATATGTTTTGGAGGCTCTGGATTCTATTCTATTCTAATATGTTCCTCTAAAAAGCATTTTTTAAAAGCAGTCAGTTCAATTGGCTGAAAAACTGAGAACTGTCTCCCCAGCAATGGGCAGTAGACCAA